AACTTTTTCTTTTCTGCTCTCATTTCTCTCCCTTTTTAGCTTGTGGCCCTATCACAACAGTGAGAAAGAAGAATGCATTTTATTGGTGTGATCCGGTGAAGCCACACACACACACACACACACACACACACACACACACACACACACACACACACGAGCACGCGTGCACACACAAATGATTTCAACTTTGTCATTTTCTGTCTCACTGTTTGTTGACCAGCCATGGTGAAATGATTGAAAAGAACCAGCTTTCCCTAATTAAGACTTGTCACCGTGAACCCTGCTGTCACCGAGAAGAGCAAAATTTCCGCTTTCTAATTAGTTACTTATGAATATCTTCGGAAAAAGTAAGGCAGAAGGAGATGGGAGGGTTATCAATTTTCTTTTGTAATCAGAATTGATTGCTGTGACCTTCAGATGCAGGCAGAGTGAGAGACTGCTGATTTTCTGGTTGCTCTAGTTTGTCCCATCTTTCTTGATAACAAAACCCTAAATTTTAGTTGGTTCAGGTCACCTGGAATACAGACTGTATTTCCTAGCTACTCTTGAAGGAAGGCATCACTATGTAATTAAAATGTGATCGAGTGCTTTCTGTGGAGATAAACATACTCATCTTTGTGGAAGGGTCCATAAGGAAGACTTCTTTTTCTTTTCTTTCCTACTGAGGGTGATGTAAGTATGATGGCTTATCACAGGCAATCATTTTGGACCGTGAGGTATGCCTTAGGAGTTTGAGATGTTGTAACAAAAATACCATAAACTGGGATGCTTAAGTAACAGAATCTTATTCTTCACAGTTCTGAAGTCTGGAATGTTCAAGGTTGTGAGGGTCACAGATTCGTTGTCTGGAGAGGACCCTGACCCAGTTTACAGATGGCCACCTTCCTGGTATCCTTTCCTGGTGTCTTATCTGTTCTTGTAAGGACAAAAATCCTGCTCCGGGGACTCTACCCTCATGGCCTAATTACCCCAGATCACCACTAGAAGATCTTCCCTCCAGGTGCTATCACTTTGGGGCTTAGGGCCTCCACATGTGAGTTTTGGGAAACAATCCTTTGGTCCACACAATGGGGAGCCACACGTTTGGGGGGATCTGAGTAGCAGACACAGGAGTGCTGCACTGCCTGTGTGCTTGACAGAGAGGCCCCTGTGCCTTAAATCCATGGCATTTGTGTCGCTGTCACATGAGGCTGAACGTAGTCGTCACAGATGCATCTGAGGCTGTTTAATCTTGTTTGGTGTGAGGGGACTTTGAGAAGATTTTTTTCTTGCTCGACTGCACACCTCAGGGATAGAGGAATGCTTTATCAAGTAGACAGGAAAGTCTTAGCTCTCAGTAATAAAACTATGGGGAGTTTTCTGTAGCATCTAAAATCTTAGCCATCCTGTGGGAAGCCACCCCCATGAGTCTTTTTTTTTTTGGTACCGGGGATCAAATTCCAGTCCTTGTGCTTGTGAGGCAGGCAGCAGCACTGAGCTAAATCCCCAGCCCATGAGTCTTCTTAACAGCCACGGAATTGCACTTGCTCCCTCTGACCTCTTTCTCCTCTCTTCCCTAAGGGTTCTGTCCTGTGGGTCACCCCCTGGAGTGTCCCAGCATGGCAAGGCAGGAGAACTAAGAACGTCCCCCTGGTTGGTAATGGGAGGGGCCAGAAACCAGAGCCAGTGTCCAGGCAGGAGGGGCTGAGGGGACCCCTGGTCTGCTCCCATTAAGTGGGACTTAATGCAGGCACAGGACCTGGCCTGGCAGGAGCCAGCAGACCCAGGCAAGCTCTGTGCTCGCGGCACCCGGGCCCAGTCCCCCCAGGTCACTTCTCAGCTGCACAGGATGCATTTCACGTCTGGATCCCATACCGCAGAGCCACATGTGAGGAGTCATGGTTCTGGGCGAGCACAGTAGGGACAGATGTCCAGCAGTGTCTCAGCTGCTGTGGTTGTGGGGCCCCTGAGTTCTGAGCTGGGTGTGGTTCATAGCCCCCCTATTCAGCTTTAAGCCAGGCAGTCCTTGGCTCCACATCAGCACCAGGCTTCAGGTGTCCCCGAACAGAGCCAGAGCTGTGATGTGACATGAGCGTGTGTCGCTGTAAGACAGCTCTGTCCCATGCTCTTATGTATAGTTTTGCTTCAATCTGTAAACAGAGTTCTTCCTGTTAGATACGGGAATTACAATTATGGAAAGGGAGAAAATGGAAACGAGGCCTGTGTTGTATTCGAATTGGATGGAATGGGGTAAGCTCATGACTTTAAAATAGAAGTAGTGAAGTTACTGTAGACAGGTAAGTTAATTAGATACCTGGTAGGCAGTTAGACAGGGCCAGCCCACAAGGAGCGAACAGGCAGGACAATCAAAACAACAAAGATCTTCCAAGAAAGATCCCACCCTTTTCCACTGAAAATCCTTGCTCAGCTCCTTGTGCACTTGCTACGTGACTTGCTTCCCCATTGGATCTCTATTTAATCAGTATTACCTGGGTGAATGTACTTACAATCTCATTGGTTGGTTATGCTTTTGCCCCACCTCATGTCCACCTTGTAAATTTCCATTGGGTCTCATAGTTTTGTCCCACTTAGTATCTGCCTCACCACCTGACTTTGCTGAAAAGTGGGGTGAGTGGGCAGCCCACTCTCTGGTCCCCCTTCTGTCTGTCCTTGACAAAAGCTTTCTTTCCCTCAATACCTTTTGGTTTGGTGATTTTTGTTTTTTTTTTTTTTTTTTTTTTTTTTTTTTGTACCGGGGATCAAACTCAGGGCCTTGCGCTTGCAAGGCAGGTGGTGGAACCGCTGAGCTAAAATCCCCGGCCCAATTTTTCCTGCTCTTAACCTCTGTTGTTCCTAGAATTCATTCTTTGATTTTTAGAGAATACAAACTCACCTTTCAGATATCTAATAGGTTTGGGAGTTACATCTCTTCCCCCCAAATCAAAATCAATTGAGGTAATTCGTGTGAGTGCGTGAGTGTGAGTGTGTGTGTTCTCTAGCTCGGTCTACTGTGAGAGGACTGAGAACATTGGCCTCGTCCCCAAGAACACTGAGCACACCTGGCCCCAAATTTTGGCTTATAAATATAATTTCCCGCAATCAAGAAACAATGGGACCTTATATCCCATGGCTAACACAGGAAGTCACAAAGCCCCCTTGAATACAAATCACATCAGTCAGTCCCAATTTCTCAGCAGCAGTGCTGGCTCGTTTTAGACTGGATCACTCCCTGTCCTGGGTGCCTGCATCCCCAGCTCCTGCCCGCCTGGCCAGCCTTGTAGACAAGTGCCATCTCACAGGAATGCAATACAAAGCGTACAGGAGATTGGAGGTTTTCCAGTGGGCACTGGTGTTGCGTGACAAATGTCTCCAGACAGATACTGTCAGATGTCTCCTCACAGGGCAAATGTGCCTTAATTGGGGACTGTGAAACACCAGTAAATGAAGAGTTTGGTGAGGAGCAGGAGGTTGGTGTAGTTTCGAAGTACTCTTCTGACTCCTTGGAAGATGCGTACTGTTTCCAAGGGAGCGTCCTCAGCAGTGAGGCAGATCCAAGCCCAGTGCCACCTGGCAGGAAGCAGTGAGAGAGAATGTGGGGATTTGAGAGACCAGGGTGCCACAGGGACTAGGAGGCTCCCGGAAGCCCCACCTCGTGAAAGTCCATAGTGTCCCCCAGTCCAGTGTCTCCGCAGTCCAAGCCTTTGCACAGCTTTAGGGGACACCGAGGGTATCCTTTGAGATGATTTGGCCTGTAGTTTTCCCGGTTGCCAGTGTCAGGAAAGGCAGGGAAACTCCCAGAGTACAGGAGAGCAGAGAAATTTAATAACAGCTCCCACAGCGTGGCTTCTGAACCAGGCCCACTTTTGTAAGAGACATGGTTGGGGTGCTCCGTGGGGAGGCCAAGGGTTTGATGGTCACGGTGTTCAGGGTGACCTTTTGCTTTGATGGTTGTCTTCCGGTTATGGGAGAAACTGTTTCCACGTGGGAAGTTTATAGGACACTAGACCAGCAGCTTGAGTCAAAGATTCAGGCTCGGAAAATAGGTCTTTGTATTGTATTTTGAACTTTCCTATAACTTGGTGATGGTGTAAGAAAAAAAAGTCAAGACGTGGTCAGGAGAGATAGTTACTCGTTTTCTTCTAAGCATATTGGGATCCAACAGTGACAACATTTTTTTTTTTAGCCCTTTAAGGGAAACTCTACTGCATTAAAAGAATGTTCTTATAGAAAGTATTGGAAAAATGTATAGATCTGTTTCTTAATAAATATGTAGATCTCTGTATATATAATGCTGACCACCCCGTAAAGTTTTTGAAATCAAAGTGGAAAGCAGGTCACATCTCCCTCCTTCTTTTTAATTTTTGGGGATCTGTGTGTGTTTTCTTTCTTTATAGTTAGGAAAACCATTCTTTAGCAGACTTAATCTTGTTGAGCAGATTAAAGTTCTATAATAATGTCTGAAACTGGCAAGTAATCTGCATTTCAGGTCACTGCTTTGAAATGTCGACCACAACGTGTTTAAAGACAAAGATGGAGGGCTTTTTAACCTTTTACCTTGCTCACCTGTCTGTGGGTAGAAGGACCGTCTGGGGACAGTGGGCATCGCTGAGGCAGTGCCCTGCTGGCTTCCCTGAGATGGAATCTGTGTTTGGCTACGATGATTTGTTAGCATCAGTAGGGCCTTCGTGTTTCTCTGCGGTCTTTGCTGGTTCTCGTGTTGAGGCTGAGGGCCAAGGCGAGGCGAGCTGACCAGGTTGCCAGGCAGAGCTAACTGGTGCTGGTCATGTTTGATCCTGCACCATTAATCTCAGTAGCACCAGCTGGCTGTGCTAACTGTGCCATTCATTGCCTTCTCTTCATCTGGTTTAACAGTTAAAGGATCGTGTTGTAAGAATCCTCGTTTTTATTTTAAGGGGTACCACTTCAACCTGTGAAAATAGTGTAACAGTTTACCTGGTAGGGGCACAAGTAGAATTTGGATGCATTTCCTGAGTGTGATTTTTTCTTTCTTCTTTTTACAGTCTCCCTAGCCCACATCACACAGCTGGTCCTCAGCCACAACAAGCTAACAAGTAAGTTAACCGCTCTCATTTATTACATAGTTTCTCGCTTCTAGGTAATGTTACACTAATGCTGACTCCGTTTCTTTCATGTTTCCTTTAAAGAAGTGAATGACAGATGCTTACTCGGGCAGATCTAAAGTTGACGTAGGTGACGGCTGTGATACATGAGTGTGTCGTCTTCCTCTGCTTGGTGCTTGCCTCTATGAGAATTCTTTCCCTGTCGTGTATGTAAACTAGAGGCACCGTGCACTGTTTATCCTAAAGTAGTTCCATTTAGAAATGGGCAGTGATGTAAGGGTCAGGAACGCGGGACCACTCAGTACCATTTCATGCAAAATAAGACTTAGCAAAAATACTGGCGTCAAAGTTCTGTGTTTTCGTCTATATTGAAAGGGGAAAGATGTAACTGTTGAATATGCTTGCTTTCCCCGCTTGGTGAGGGAAGACCCACAAGGGGGTTAGATTACATGTGCTTGCATGTGCACTTTTTAGATTTGGGGGACTGGTCCCTCTACCCCTGCCCGCATAGTCCTCTCCAGCATCAGCAGTATCGTTGTATGGGTAACACGAAGGAACATTCATACCTGTTTTGACGGGACGATCTCATGCGGAAGATGGGCCATTTCATCCTCAGTGCTCTGGCTTTAAATACTTCAATGACAGGGACCCGCTCCTTTCTCATCCCTAACTGTCACCCTTTGTGCTGTGTGTCTCCTGCAGACTCGAGTGGTTTTCTAATCATGTGGCAAGAATCTGTTAGGGAGCTCTCCGAGTCCGGTGGAATGGGGCGGGATGTGATGTTGGGGGACGGGTGTTGTGGATTTTTGTGTGTTTGTGCACTGTAGATGGCTCAAAGTGATGTCACGGAGGTGTTGATTATTGAGAATTCGGAGTGGCCATGAGAAAGGCCCTTCACGTTCGAGAGATGGGCAGATTAGCTCATTTTCAGCCAAAGCACTATTTGGACCGCAAAGGCAGAGTGACACAGTTGCCACCGTTAAATCCCGTTGCCACCTACACGTCACGTGTGATCCCTGTTGTCACAGGTAATATGCTGCTGGTTCCATTGTTCTTGCAGAAAATGGTCCTGCTCTCCACGGAGACCGTAATCCCAGTTTGGAAGGGATTTGGGGTTTGCTTTGAGAGGTGGACAGCACGATCTCTAAATTCCCCAGACAGTATGCAGACGGTCTTGATGCTCTTCACTGCAGAGCTCCTAGAGATACTGTGGAACCTGTGTCGTTACGATGGCAAACTAGGTTATTGTTAAGCAAGAAAGGCAAACGCTGTACTGTTAATCACTGATAATTCATCGATCTGTCCTTTAAGAACTTCCAACTAGTAGTTGTGTATTTCTCTTAGGTATCCACAATGATAGGAATCTCGGGGATCAAGCAGTCAATTTCTTTCTCCGGGAACAGAACGTCAGGTAAAGTTAGAGAGGCATGAATAAGGAGTTAAGTTGTGTCAGCTGTTATAGATGTTGACTGCGAATGAACCCAGGCTTCATATTTCTCTCCTCGTTGTATTTTGTTTTCTGGTTTTATTTATTTATTTATTTTTCTGTCTCTGGGAGACACTCTTGACCTAATCCAGTAAACTCTAATTAATCGTCTTGGTGAATTCTGTTTCTGGCTACATTGAGTAGTGTCAGTGCCACCCAAACTGTCCCACGAAGGTCAAATTAGCATCTTTTACTATTTTTCTGGCATTTAAATGAGTGACTTTTCCTATGGTTTTTCAAGTGTTTATAGTAAATATGTCCGTCTGATGGAAATATAAATATGCATAAGCGTAAGTGGCTGAGCACACCCTCCTGTCACTTTTTATTCTAATCAGTGTCTTTCACTTTCCATTGTTTTTAACAGGGATTGGCTGACAACAGCGCTATATTAAATCCACTGGGACTCAAAAGATAAACCCCTCAGCACCCGCTTTTATCCTGTTAACGTACTTGTGTTTATCTCTCGGTGTGCCAATTACACCGCTCTGACATTTCCACTTGCTCCGGTGTTTAGGGAATGGCTGGCTTACTCAGACTGAGACTTCCATTCGGGACACTGTTGGACACCATTTACTTGAGTTAACGCCTGTAGGGGCAGCCTATCAGCGGGGTACTGGGTTGATGACTCTTTTCTTGCTGGTGGGTTTGACCTTGACAGGAGAGGGCAAGTAAGGCCACGAAGAAGCTGACGGTGCACTGTCTGGTCCTGAAATTCCCAAGATTTTGTGAGCAGAAATTCCTGAAGTTTGCTATAATGGAGTTCATAAGACTGGTTCACGATTGCTAAGCTAATTGTGTACTGTTAGAGCTTTATTGGAATAAAACCATTTAAATGTAAACCTGGTGGTTTGGGACAGTGCTGGTGGGTGCTGGTGGTTTTTGGTGAAGTCGATGGAGGAATTAGTGTAGATGGCAGCTTTCCCAGCCATGTGTGTGTTCATGATAGAGCTAGTAAGCAAGAAGGAAGAAGGATAGGCGATCTTTTTCTTCTGCTTTTCCCATGGTTGGGCAGGTACGAGCTAGGAACCCAACAGGGTAGACTCTGTCCCAGTGGACAGAATTCCAGAATAAGTATCCTTTTATGTATTCGCTTTTTGGTGCACTGTGGATAAAACCTGGGGCCTCACGCAGGCTAGGCAAACGCTGTACCACTGAGCACCGCCTGATGCCACACACCGGGTGTAAGGTGCTCTCCGTGCCTGACTTCACCCCGGCTAGCCTTTCCTCTTGGACTGCGATGGCTCAGCCTCCTGTCCCCCTGCACAGACCAGCCTCTGTGCTCTGTGCCGGTGCTCTGGCCCTGCTGCCCCAAGCACCCTGTCCTGTCCCCGCTCCGGGCCCCTGCCCGCTCTGGGCCTCGTGAACTTTCTTGCACCCCTGTCGCTCATGGATTTCCTCAGCGCCAAAGTGGCGCTCCCTTTTTCCTTCTGTTGCTTCAGGCTTCTTTTCTTGTCTCCCCTGCTCAATTTTAAGCTTTTATGGAAGCGGAGGCCATTTTTTAGTCTGGTTAAAGCCTGTGGCTGAGCTGCGCAGTGCTGACCCTGTAATCAGCCACGTCACTGACCACGGTTGTCCAAAGGAAGTAGATGGTTTCCCAGGAAGCCGCAGCCCCAGTGAAGTGGTGGCCGCTATGACCAGATGATTTCTTCCAGATTAGCTGGTAGTGGATCTGAGAGGTTCTGACCACCACCACTACAGATCTCGTACCCTGGTCATCATGTGTCCCTTTCGTGTGCCGGACCGTGAGCATCCTAAAGAAACCTGTCCAAGGAATTGATGTGTGCCTCCTCTTTCCAAAGGCAGCCCTTTCGTAGTTGCGGAATGATGGGCTGTCAAGGTTTTCAGGGTGCCCAGAGCATCTGCAGCTCAGGAGATCTGGGATCCTGAAGCTACCACGGGATCCTAGCAACCTTCCTGGGCTCGGCAGAGTTTTACCTTCTGATTCACTGATGGGCACGCGTGTGCCCCCTTCACTCAAAGTTAGTTCCATGTATTAAAATCCCCGTGTTACTTACTAATTCTAGACTTCTACGCATTAGGATCCCCCCTTCCTTTTTAATGCAGCAATCTGAAGGTTTTCCTCCCGTGGTGTCTTTTGTTCTAGCCTTCCTGAAGCCCTGGTATTTTAAATGATCCTCCCTCTTAAGTCACCATTAGCTCTAAGTCTTTTTCAGTTTGTTCCTTAATCTCATCCCCAGGTTTTATAGGGTAGAGCAGTGTAAGCTTTGTTAAATGTTTTTCTTCTTTTCCCTTTTTGAAATTTCTTTTGGAGGCAGCCATTCTGAAATTTGTCCACTAGAGGTCACTGTTGAGATGCGCATTCCTCCCCCATTGAGTCTTGTGCCTAAAACCTGAAGTCCAACTAAATTCAGAGGACATTTTTTGCCAGCTGTTTAGCTGGGTCCTGTACCATCAGGTTTGTTGATGGGGCCTTTTACATAGAGCAGTTTTATCGTATTTACAGTAGATACTCATAGAACTATTCAATTTCTCATATATATGTATATATATGTTAGTGTTTATTGTGGCTACTTTCTTGAGTTAGAAATGTTTCTTATCTTCCCAATATATGTTGTATTTTGTGTTACTTTGTATTGGACAAATGTGAGATTTTTCTTTTCCTGTGAAGGGAGGTTTAAAATATGTGTGTAATCAGATTTTAATTCAGACTTAATCATGTAAAAACCAGGAAAGTGTTCATTTTCCCCATACTTACACCGATTCTTATTCTATCATTTTGTAAGGAAAAATGCTATACATTATTAAGTGAATTAGGTTCTGCCTCAGCGGTAAAGCAGTCTGGTGTTAATATTTAAACATGAAGCTTTTATTAATTTTTGAAAATAACTTTACTCCTGCAGCAACACCCATTTATAAATATTGAAAACACCTTAAATAGAGCAGCAATATTTTTTATTTTATGACCCATTTGCATTAAGGATTAAGCCGTTAGCATGTTGCACAATAAATGCAAAGACCTCCCTGCTCTCGGCAGGCCCGAGGCCCTCTGTTTATGGCAGACTTTCGTCCCTGCAGGTCTGTGGGTGAAACTGTTGACTTTTACACTTTGAAAAAAGAATTTGTTTTGAAGGTACTTGGAATTGAACCTGTTGGTACTGAGTTACGTCCTCAGCCCTTTTCTTACTCTGTCTGGGCTCAGACTTGCATTCTCCTCCCTCAGCCTTCACGAGTGCTGGGGTTGTGGATAGGCACCCTGAGCCCAGCTTACATTGTGTACTTGAAATTTTCGGCTACAACTCGCCTACAGCTTCAGTCTTCACGGAGACTATATCTTGTTTTGTTTTGTTTCTTTTTATTGAGTTTATTGGTACATTCTAGGTGTACAGTACAGTTGCATTCATTACTGGGATCTTGTACCTTTACATGACAGCTCTTGGTTGTATCTTGTTGTTTAATGTGTTGGAAATGCTGGTCAGGTAGCAGCCCCAAGCTTTATGGCAAAACCTAAGTGTTGTTGAAAAGCTATTTCCTATTAATTTAGCTT